ACACAGACAACCCCTCGACAATATGCGTTTTTGCATTGCATAGATGCAAAAAACGCATAACAAACAAGATGGAGACAAACCTGACGTATCAAATTTAGAAAATGGAGCAGCAATGCGGAACACAGCAGTCGTTTTGAGCCTCATTAGTGCAGTTAAATTTATGTGAAATGAATGTGTGTGAACGGGGGATCTACGGGGGCCAACTGCGGAAGCGCGTCGTGCCTTAAAATTTATAAAAGTCTCAGAGACGTGACAACATGATGACCCAGGCAAGAATATACCAAATATGAGTTGAATCAAGAATCGCAATAGAAAACTCAAATCAAAGGCAAGAGATGCGCGAATGCACGAACTCTATTACATATAAAACGCTGTTTGGAGACAGATATTGCGTAAACCAAAACAGACGATGAAGGAGACAAGGAAGAACTGGCGTACTGCGAGTAGGATCCTGATTGGTCAGTCGGGTTGCTTTTATAGGGCAGTGATTCCACTAGAGCTGGAATGCGTGCTCTCCTCATTTCGGATCTCCGTAGGATATTTCCACCCGTTATCGGGGTTTCGAGATCTCCGCGGATAGCTAATGTGACGTTGGGAAGGTATTTAGCCTGGGAAAGAGAGTGCTTTAGTGTAAAATATCAGAGCCTGGGATCTGGGAACGGATTCCGATTGGTGTTTTGTTTTTTTTTTAACTTTTTTTATTTCTTTTTTTCTGAATACTTGAATAAAATATTTTATTTTAAAACATCTTCAGCTTCATCCTTTTCGAGTGAGAAGAAAAGGGGAGTTTGAATACTCCTTTACTGTGCCAAATTAAGACAACTCTTTTGCCGAAAAGGCTAGTCACGAAAATCCCTTGGGCAGAAAGGATCAAAAGATGGTCAAGCGAAGTTTGCCTTAAACAAAGCAATCAGAGATTTGGGTGCCGAGTTGCGAACAATGGCTGTTTTACGGACCATGCAACAAATTTATTTAAAAAATCCATTTCGCAAATATTAACAAAATAAATTCATTCCGATAACAGCCAAAAATGCAGCGTTTCACGTCATCTTTTTATGCGTTTTTGCCTATATGCAAATTGCAAAAACGCATATTGGAACGACCCTGTCTGTGTG